GAAGTAAGGAAATCACCTAATTAGATTTGTACTTTTCATGAATAACAATGTTACTATTGCTTGCTCCAGTACTATATAAGCCTGAGCCCTCGGATCAATAAAGAGAGTTTGTTCTTCACTGCTCTCACCTGGCCCATGATTCTTTCTCTCTTCACACTCTGCCGGCATCAGACCACAGCTGGGACGTAGGCGCTCCCGGCACCTAGTGGCATTACTTAGCTAGATGGCTATTCTGTGTTCCAAAGAGCTTGGATGTTTGGATTTTAGAATCCCAAGTTTTCTCAACCGTTTTCTCAACTCTAAGATTCTTTTTGTTTTTTTTTTTTAAAGGCAGGGAAGGGGGTGGGAGAAAAGCAGAGTATCAAAAATTCCCCTAGGTGGAGCTATTTCAAGGCATCACTCTTCACTGTCTCAAATTCCTATAGCTGTGTATAATTGGTAGGCACAAGACTTTTTTGGCTTTAACCCAGCCTTACACCTATACTTGCAGTAAATTTGTGTTTGTGTGTATGTGCTTTCTGATCAAAATTAACATATTTGTTTGAGTTTGGTAAATAATTTGTATTTGTGGGTGTGTGCTTTCTGATCAAAATTAACATATTTGTTTGAATTTGGTAAATAATCACTTCAGTGGTAGTACCATTAAAGAATAGATCCTTCTTCCTCACTCTGATTGTTATAACTGAAATAAATAATGGACAAATGAGATATTTTATAAATATCCATAGAATATATACCTCTGATCTAAGAATGGGAGACTACATAGTAAAACTAAGAGAATTTCCATGGGAACATTTTGATATTATACCCCATTTTAGAGTATATTATTATAGGATGTAAATAATCTAAAATTAAATCAAGCTGTGGTTTGGCATTTTGGTCTTAAGTTTAAAAGCTAATTAAAGTTTTCATGAATTTAAACTTAACTCAGCACGATATATGTAATGAGAATCAATTGTCACGGGGTATAGTCTCTTAGTCTGTAGGGAAATTCCCATCATTATTGGTGAAATTCTGTATCAAGATCATGGGAAGAGCCTGACCCTTAGTCTTCCTCTTTAACAGCCTGTAGAATTTGTTATGCTTAGTTTCATACACTAGTCCTTAGAGACACTAATCCTAGTTTTTGTCCCCACCTTCCACATGCTAAAAATAGCAAAAGTTGGGGGCAGAGGAGAAGGGGAGAAGGAGAAGCCAGAGGGAATGTGATTATCTTATCATCTTTGTTCTACTATTGATTTATAGCAGACATTTTGTCTTACAGATGCCAAATCATACAAAGGTTATTCCAACTAATGGATGGGGGATTTGTAGCTTCTCCTGAGTATGTAAACTCTTCTCTGGGGGTAAGCTAGGTTTGCTTTTTAAAGTTGAAAGATTTCCTTGTTGTGCCACCGGGGTGGTGCTTTTTGACCTTTTATATTTCATGGCCACAGCTGCGTGTTAGTAATATTTCTCAATGTGCCCTGGGCCCAGGACAGGGTCTCTACTCATTTGGAGAGTATTATGGTAAAGCCATATTGCTAGGGGAAAGTTGCAGAGTACAAATTACTATGATGAAAGTTTTTCTTGTATTTCCAGTATGCTGTTCCTAGTATAGATGAAAGAGCAGAAATCAAACCAGGGTGGAACTGAGACTTTGCTTTGGAATGTGCTAAATTTAGAGATTTCAAATCAGAGCCAACCTTAACATCATGTATAGGGGGATTGGCCATGCACCCTCACACAGGAGAATGATGCTGGGAAGGGAAAAAGAGAGGAAATAGCATTTATTAAGCACCTACTATGTGTTAGATGCTTTAAAAACATTATCTCATTTGATCCTTATGACAATCCTGTGAGGTAGGTGCTATTGAGGAAACTGTGGCCAACAGAGGTTTAAATGACTTGCTTAGGGTCACATAGCTAGTAAATGTCTGAGGCAGTATTTGAATGAATGGGCCTGATTTCAGGCCCAGTGCTCTATATCCTGTGCCATTTTACTGAATTGAGAATAGAACTCTTAGTACTTCTCAAAACACATGGTGATAACGATCCTTCTACACTCTATGCCAGCATTCCTGGTTTTTCAGACTACCTAGTTCAACTGCTATGCTCTGCTTTCATCTGCCACCCTCATTCTAATAGAACCTGGGGAAGTTGGAGCCAGGCATTTCCTCTTCTGTAAGGCTGTGTGCAGCCCTAGTGTCTGGGAGCATCTCACCAAACCAAGACTTGTAGGGAGGTATAGGATAGGAACAATGGGAGGTCTCCAGAGTTTTAAGCTTCTGAGCCAAGAATCATTAGGTACCTGGGCTATGGTGATAGTAAAACAAAATGGTGGTTTTGAAAGCCTACCCTGGCTCTGGCAGGCCCTGAAACTTTGTACCACCACCTCCCCACTGCAAGGGGAGCTCAGACCCAAGGCAATGGTTCGGGGGAAGATGGGAGCCAGGATTGAAGAATCTATGGGACATCAACAATCTAGCACTCCACTGCTTCTAAGAGTAATAGTACAGGATATCTGATCAGCATCAATTACCATAAGTGGTCACTTCCTCCTGCCTTTGTAAGGGTGTCAGTGCTTCCTCTCTCAGGCCAAACCAGTCCAAAGAATAGTATGAGGAGACAGGTGTTGGGACACAGGAAGGAGGTGAGAGAATGTGCCACCCCCTCCTTCCTAAGACTGTATATATATACCAACAACAGCAGGACCCTTTACGCTAACAGGATCACCTTCTCCCAGTCCACATGATGGGAGGAGACCAAGTGGGCACACATTGTCTTGCCCTGAGTTAGATTGGCATCACTTTCATTGCTGCTGCCATAAGATGCCACTCCTGTTATCTTCCTCCCATAGCAGAAGGTCCCTATCCTCTAATACCTCCTTCCTGTAGCTGGGCCTCACCTCCTATCTGCTCAAGGAGGAAGAAAGATGCATGCCAGAGTCATTCCTGTGTGTAGACAACAACTGGTTTGTGGTGATTGAGGAAGGGGCAGGTGGATGGACAAGAGTGTCATGGTTCATAAATCTAGAGCAGGAAAAGACTTTGGAGGCCTCTCATTTTTATAGATGGGGAAACAAAGGCCTAGCAAGGTTAAATGATCTCCCAGGGTCACCTAAGTAGTAAGTCCCAGAGCCAGGATTTAAACTCAGGCCCTCTGACTCTAAAAACCATACTCTCCACTGCACCATCCTGCCTCCTTCTATGGCCCTGAGCCCTACCAATCTCCCTGGAATGGCTATGCATGGCCTACCTAAATAGCATCTGGTTAACAAGAATAATTAGTTAAAATAGATGGTTCTCCTGCTCTCTTCCCAACTCTGTCTTGTGTTAGTGTCCTAAAATCCCTTTTCTCCCACTCCCCAACTGAAGTCACCTTTCTTGCTTCTTGCCCCAGATATAAAAATTCCTAGTTGTGGCTCTGGGAAGTACCAGATTTATAGTCATTGGACCTGGGTTCAAATCCCTGCCCTGTTATTACCTATGTGATCCTGTGCAAGTCATTTACTTCTCTGGGCCTGGGTTTTCTCATCTGTAAAATTAAGAGGTAAGATTAGCTGATATCTGAGGGCCCTTCTTTTATCTTCAAATCTTATAAGCTGAGTTTTGGCTCTTACTGTTCTTTTAAGGATGCTTAGCAGCAAGTTTTTGGCCTCCAGATGACAGTTTCTGTTCTATATTAGGTCTGAATCACACACCGATTGAGGCTCAAACCATTTTTTTTTTTGCTTCCATCTCTTCCTCCCATGCTGTTTTTCTTACCCCATACTACATCTTCCTTTGAATTCTTCATTCCTGTCACACACAGGGGAAACTGGAAGGGAGCAAGGAATTCAACTGTAGTATGAGTCAGTTGACTGACTGGGAGCTGATCCAAGAGCTGGCAACCTCTGCCCCAAAGCAATAAAACAGTACCCTCCTCCCTGCCCCAGGCAGCTCTGTATTTCCTCACTCTTCTGTGCACCATGTTTGTTTGTTTTCTCATTTAAGGCTAGTGTGCCAAGGGAATGAGAGCCACAGGCACATTGAAGAGGCTGCTGTGTAATGGGCTGATGACCATCAGCCATTCCTTTAGAGGTCCGCCTTTTAACAATGCTCATCACATTTGATGATAGCATGAGATTTTCTATTTAAGGCACAGGAGAAAGGATGGTAAAGGAATTCTCAGCTTATATCTGACAAAGCTATTCTTCCATTTTTGATCTAACTAACAAGGAATTGTACTTGTGTCTAGCTTTCATACTTGTTTTTTAGTCATGAAACAGAAAGGTAGGACTCAATCTAGATGAGATCTCACAGGCCATTTAGTCCAACTCAAGTCCAGGGAGATTAAGTGGATTGCCCAATATTACACTGGCAGTTTCAGTCATAGGATTTTATTGCAGAGCCTTCCATTGCACTATGTTGCCTTTTCTAAAAGATAAAAATATACCCCCATATTTTATTACCTGTTTGACCTCAAGAAGGTCACTTAATCTCTCTGGGTCTCAGTTTCCTTATCAGTAAAAAGAAGGGTTTGGCCTAAATGACCTCTGAGATCCTCTCCAGCTCTAAAATGATGATCCTAAATTCAAGTACGTTCAAAATCTGTATTGATCAAAAGACTTTTGACTCTCCTGTTTCACAGTTGTTCAGCTGATAAAGGCTTAATTTATCATGCAATTGTCCCAACAATAGCACAGACAGATATCACAGGTGTCACAGAATTTGAAAGATGGAAGGGATCTCAGTGGTAGCCCTTTTGTCCAACTAGATGGACCATGAAAAGAATCTCCACTACAACATAACCAACAAGTGATCACTCAGCCTTTACTTGAAGACCTCCAAGGAGGAAGAATCCTACCTGGGGAAGGTAGTTTCATTATAGGGGTTTAGGGTTTGTTTCCCATTTTTAAAGGAAAAGTGAGTCAGAAGATTTTCTGACTTAGCATCCCAAACCAAGTCATTAGTAGCCAATATAATTTTCTACTCCTCCTCTTGGTGCAACATTTTGCTTGCATTAATTACTTCAGTAAAAACATATTTAAGGGCAACTTTAATTCATTTTGAGAAAACATCTTCCACCTTTAGGAATAAGAATATTTCATTTCTTTGACAACTCAAAAATTTTAGCTACAAAAACCGAATTTATAAGACAAGTGTGAATGGTGATGTCTTTGCTCTGGGTGCTATTGTTTATTGATAATATCAAGTGTTGCTGTATTGATAGGAGTACAATTTAGTGCATTGACAAAGCTGTAGAACAAGTAATTGCCTTTGCAGTCCTGGATTGTAGTCCACAGTGAGAACCTGATGTGGGCCTCAATGACTTGTCAAGAGATTAAATTTGTATTGATCCAAGGTCACGTTTCAGTTGTGTTCTGATTTCCCTCTGGGGTGATAAACTGTACCTTTGGCACGATCAGAGAAGAGTTGTTCCTTCTCATGGAATTGTTCCTCCTCATAGAATTGTTCCTTCTCATGGAATTGCGCTTTCTCAGAGAGTTCTGATGGGACAGCTCACTCTTCTGAAGTGTTTGAATAAGTATTGAAGGCTTTTCATCTAATTCCCTGGCACTACACCTGGGAGCAGCCACTTTGACTGTATTGCCAAACTTGGAGTAGTCCACGGAGTATACACCTTCTTCTTCTGTTACAATAGATACAAAGCGGTGACCCCACTGGATTTCCTCCGCAATGTAAGAGGTTCGAGCCTGAGTGGTGATACCTGTAGTTTCAACCACTCCTTCCAAGATAACTATGACCTCTAAGTCTTGGGTGGCTAAGTCAGTGGCTGAGATCTCATACAAGGGGCTACGCTTATCAATTACATGGCAGATGATCAAAGGGGCCACCAGAAAAATATTGTTACTTTCTATGGGATTGTCAACAGGGATATCAAGTTGATGAATAGGCACTACCTCCCCTTCGGGGGTGGTTGTTTTCTTGACAACCTGGATTCGTACAGAGGCGCTAATGATCATGCTTTTCCTTAAATCACCTACCCGGAACATGAAACACAGTCGGCCATTTCGTACAGCAATTACTGCATGCCGGCTGAAAATCAAGGTCTCGGCCCGTCTGTGAGCTTGAGCTGTCTTCATGAAGATACAACCCAGCATGATTGCATTGATAATTAACCCCACAATGTTCTGAAGAATCAAAACTGTGATAGCCAAGGGGCACTCCTCTGTCATCATTCTCCCACCAAATCCAATTGTCACTTGAACCTCAATGGAGAAGAGGAAAGCAGAAGTGAAAGACCTGTAAAAATGATACACCAGACTAATGTCATTAAGACAAATTTTGAATAGTGTAATAAATACTCAAGGACTTTTAAAAATATGGATAAAATTAACTTGCTAAAGGCTCATTGCTTCTGAAAGAAAGAATGAAATAAGTGTCTCACTTTCTAGAGGCACATTATTTTCTAGACCCCTAACTTACTGCAATTATTTCTAGTCCATTCAGGAGACTCTTCTTTTTATGAATACACTACATCTTCTTATTGTTAACATCAGGCCCAACAAACCCATGCCTAGTTTATGAGAAGCAAAAGCAGCCCAAGACAGCTATGTCCTCAAATTGAGAAGTCATTTTTAAAAAACCTAGTCCACAGGACAAAGATTATGCCAAAAATACTTTTAAAAAACTGAACTTTAATACACTATTTAAGTACGTAGATTGAGTAGTTTTAAGCTATTGATTTTCTAAACCACTTACTAAATTATGAACTCCAAAATAAAGTCATCAACAAATATCTATAGCATATATAGGACACTTTAGGAGACCCAGGGAATGCAAATGTACATGACACACTATCCATGCAAATTTATGTAATATAGTGTTTTATAACTACTTATCACTTTGGAAAACAGAGGACTTTCACATAAATTATTTCATTTTGTTCCCAAAGTGATCTAGCGAGCTAGACAAGATTATAGATAAGGAAGCTGGGTAGAGAAAGGTTACATGACTTCCCAGAAGTCATCATTTTTAGGGCAGTGATCTTTCTACTCGGCCATACCAGATGTGTTTGTGACTTTGTTTCATTGCTACATCCATATTCAAGAGGCAGCTCCCTGTTTGTAATAATATAATGCTTCAAGTTTTTGATGATGAGGTCATGTAATGATAATAATAATAATAATAATAATAATAATGATGATGATGATGATGATGATGATGATGATTATTCACTTTTATAAGAGTACCTCAAGGTTCTCAAAATGTTTTCCTCACAAATGGGAACAAGAACCAATTTGAGTATTGTGATCCCTATTTTTAGATGAGGACCTGAAGTTTGGAGAGCCCAGGTGACTTATGTACAATCACACGATCAACAGGGATTACTCAGCTATTGAATGTCTGCGGAGGAATTCAAGCCTAAATCTACTGCTTCTACTTGCTGCCATGCGATGTTGCCTCAATGAAAAAGAAGCCTCAAGGAGGTCATCATTCAAAACAAAGAACCCAACTGGTTATGCGCATGCTCTGAAGATGGATCTAGTGGCAACTAGCCCAATTATCAAGTAGAGGAGCATGGCTGAATTGTTTCTCTTTTGTATTGCTTGTAGGTATCATGAACAGATACATGAACTATTTCATATACCATCTATACAAAACATCAAGATGTGGAATGCAGGCTCTGGGAGAGTAGAGACTGTCGCATTCCTGTGTTTGCACCCCAAGCACCAAGACAGAGTGTGGCGCATGGAAGGCACTTGTTGAATTGATGTATCCCATTGTCCAGACAATAATGGGAAAGTATCCTTCAAAAAGTGGTAGTTAAGAATCCATTTTTGGTGAATACTGAAATAACTAAAGTAGTAACATAGCAAACTTAGACCACTTTTTATTATATTCATGGGGAGAACATTTGTAAATAATAATAGCAAGCATTTATATAGCACCTACTATGTGAACCATCCTAAGCACTTTACAAATATTATTTCATTTGATCCTGACAACAGTAATAATAATAGCTAGCATTTATATAGTACTTAGTATCTACCAGGCACTATTAAGTGTTTTACAGTTATTTCATTTGATCTTCACAACAACTCTGGGAAGTAGGTGCTAATATTGTCCTCATTTCACAGATGAAGAAACTGACGCAAACAGAGGTTAAGTGACTTGCCCAGGGTCACACAGCCAAATAAGTATGTAAGACAATGATTGCATTCTCAACCTGGAATTATGGACTTAAGTGTATTGTGTGACTGTTGTGCCTTATGGACACCTGTGATATCTAATAACCAAATGTTGTCTGGATTCTGCTACTCTTTGTGCTTTTTGATGTGGAGCTCAGCTGTACAATTAATAGAGACCCTGGAACAAATGACAGAACATTTTCTGAATGGAATTATAGTTTCTTGCATTTCACAAAAGTAAGAAATGCTTATTTTTAAAGTATAGGGATAAAATGCTATTTGAAAATACTGGTGAGTGATCACCAAACAATCAAATTTTAGTTTTCAATTTTTATAAAGGCAGCAGGACTCATGGCTTATCAAAAAAAAATGAAGTATAAAATATCATGGTGATTAATATTTGTGTTAAAATAACTATGCAGTATTAACTCTTGTACCAAAATAGTTTTAATAATAATTTAATAATATTATATAAGATTTATTATTATCTAACTATATTGTTTCCTGTATTCTGAGGTAGAAGAGAATACTATTAAGAAACAGAAAAAAATTTACATTAAAAACATATTTTACAGGATTTGTTAAGGGATTTTGCAAAGGTTAGAAACAAAATGGTTACTTTGGCAATGCAAGTCCAACTCTTCAACATGCACATGGATCATTTTCCTCCATATCACTTAGCACTTATTCAGAGCTTTGAAAGCAAAACAATACAATGAAGACAGAAATTACTTTTACTTATCCAATGCATAATAACACAGTGCAGTATGTTTTCTTTGTTCAAAAATCCTTAACTAAAATATCCTGATGGCCTTTTCTCAATCCTAATCCTTTTTGACCTCTCTGCTACATTTGACACTACTGACCAGCCTCTCCTCCTGGTTCTCTTGTTCATCTGATCACTCCTTGGTTTCCTTTGTTGGATTATCATTCATATCATACCCTCTAACTGTGAGTGTTCCTCAAGACTATGTCCTGTTCTCTACATTAGCCCTTTTGGTGACTTCATCAGGTGAATCAATTTAATTATCGTTTCTCTACAAATATCTTGTGTGTGTGTGTGTGTGTGTGTGTGTGTGTGTGTGTGTGTGTGTGTGTGTGTGTGTACATGCATTCAGTTTATCCCAGGCTTCAGTCTAGCAATACAAATTACCTATCAGACATTACAAATTAGATGTTCCAAAGACACCTCAAACTCAATACGTCCAAAAATGAACTTGTTAACTTCCCCAAAACCTATTCCTCTTCCAAACTTCTCTATTTCAAAAGGCACCACCATTCTTCCAGTCTCCCAGGTTCATAACCTCAGCATTATCCTTGATTCTTTGTTCCCTAAACCTCATGTATCCAAACCACTAGCCAAATTTTGTTTTTACCTCCACAATATAGTTGACTCCTTTCTACTTACATAGCAATGACCCTCAGTTTAGGTCTTCATCATCTAGTCTCCTAACTGGTCTCTCTCTCTCTCAGATTTCTTCCCACTCCAGTCCATCCGCCATAGTGTTGCCAAAGTGATTTTCCTTTATTGCAGCTCTAGGTCATCCTCCTCAATATAATTTCAGTGGTGTCCTACTGCCTCTAGGATCAAATATAAACTGTTCTGTTCAGCTTTTGAAGCTCTTCACAATTTGGTTCCAACTTATCTTTACTGAGTTACTGTACATTATTTCCCCTCCCTCACTCTTTAATCCAACCAAACTGATCTTTTCTCTGTTCTCTCACACTATATTTTATCTCCAATGTCTGCAACTTTGCAACTGGCCATCCCCCAAGCCTGAAATGTACTGTCTCTCCCCTCCCCTTCATAGAATCCTTCTCTTCCCTAAGACACAGCTTAATCACCACCTTCCACATAAATTTTTCCCAGTTGGCCTTAGCTGCTTGTGCCCTCCTTTTCAAACAACTTTATGCATAGTCCATTTTATTAAATTACTTTGAATTTATTTGTGTTTATTCTCTCAATATTTATTCTGTATATGTTTATATATGTATCTGTCTCCACTATTTTAATGCAAACTCTTTAAGAATAAAAATTATTTCTTTCTTTGTATTTTTATCTCCCATGCTTAATATAATACCTGGTACAGGATAGGCACTTAATAAATGCTTGCTGATTACTGATTTAGAAAAATTTAGAAACACTTTAAAAGATTACATTCTTAAAGAATCACATAGATTACTGAATTACATTTTTGTGACAAAATCCCACATTGCTATCCTAGTAATAAAATTAACCATATGTTTACTAGTCATAATTTCAGTTTATTTATCCAGTTATGATCAGTGATATGCTTTTATAGATTGATCAAAAATATTTCTCACAAAATAAATATGAATTAACAATACCAAAATTCAATGGTAATAAATTCTTTTGAATTAAGTTTAGCTTTATAGTCAAGCATGTTATATCTCCAGTCACCTATCACTGTAAGATTTTAATTGTTGTTTTACTTTGGTTATTGAGCAACTATTGAATTTTTATTTTAGTATAACATCAACATCCACTTCAACTTTTTTTTTTACAAATTTACTCAATAATAAAGTTAATGGAATAATTTAGATAAAATTCGCCTGATCTGAATGCATAGCTTACTATCTCTAGAAACAAAGTCTAAGTCACTGTACTTTCTAAGATTAATAAGGCATAGTTTTTTCACTGGCTTGTCAGTTCCTAACAAAGAAGGGAGTTTTGATTTTTATCCTTTATAATTTCTAGGAAATAAAGATTTCTTTGAGCTAATGAAAGGTTTTAGCTTTGTGCTGTATGAGAATTTGGAATACTATTTATAAAATGTTCCAGAATTTTTTTCCATCTTTGTTTCTGTCAGTTAACAGTAACTTTGTGAAATTGTTGCAATAGTTTAAATAATCTTTACTCAATGTTACACTAAAAATAAATAAAAATAGATTAAAAACCTGCACAACCAAGCATTTCTATCACATCTTCAGTTATGAGATTTTAAATTCTCTTTACTTAAATGCCTTGGCAATGTTTAAGAAATATGATTTTTAAAAACACTCCAAGATTTAGAAAAATGTAAGGACTAATTTTTTCTTACGATTTCATATCTGGATTTCTAGAATCTTAGGTCTGGAAGGGCTCTCAGAGGTCACTGAATACAGCTGTTCCTGAAGTGTGGACCCTTTCTACAATCCTTTTGAAAATGAGAAGGCACCATTAAATACATCCCTTATAAACAGCTCCCTCAATGACAATTCTGACTGAACATTCTTAAAAATAAATGTCTTATATCATTGATACATGTTTAAATTTAAAAAAACAATTGTTCATAGAAAAATACATAAAGATGAATCTTGATAGGGAAGGTTTTGCCTTTAGGTAAGTTATTTTATAACATGATATTATAATTAGAGACCCCACTGAATCTAGTTTTCTGACCTCCTTTTTCAACATATGCAAATGTTAAGGGGACAATCCCATGATGCAGTTTATTTGTCTCTGCAGACTTGTCTGTATGCATTTAAAATAGAACCTACAATATTTCTGTACTGAAAAGTGAACATTTTGCTTTATATTTCTTCACTCAAGTATATACTGCAAGAATAAAATACCCTATTAATCTTTTTTAAAAGCTGCATTGGGAAATGCCCAATGAAAACTCATTTTAGATCAGTCTAAAAATATATCAGATGATATATTTCAAGAGAAGGCAGGACTTTAAGGGAGACATGTAAAGTAGTTTTCATTTAAGTTGATTTTTTAGACATAAACTGTATGAAAAGTAGCAACTTTTGTTTTCAGATGTCCCAAATCACTTGTTGCAATTAAGGTGCTGTTTTGTTTTTGTTTTGGGAGAGTGTATCAAACCCTTCACTTTTTTTTTCCAGGCAAACTTATGGTAAAGTGGGGTTCTTAACCAGGGATCCATGGTCTGGCCACTAAGAGGTCCATGGCTAGATTTCAGGAGTTCATGAACTTCGATGAGAAAAAAAATTACATCTTTATTTTCACCCATCTTTGGTTTCTTTTGCAAAATTATTTATTTAATTCTATTCATTTAAAAATATTCTAAAAGGGGATCTGTATTCAGTACCAGACTGCCAAAGAGGACTATGAAACAAACAAACAAAAAGGTTAAGAACCAGTTATATAGAGTGATAGTTGACAAGGCATTTTGGTTATTATTACACCAATCTTACTTTCTTCCTCATCTGACTACATTCTTACCTGACATTAGTCACACAAGCACTGGAATCCACGCCACTTTTCTCCATACCACTTTTCTCCATGTAAGCATGAATGTCACCATGGGCAAAAGCCACCAGCCACCACATGATGGCAAAGAGCAGCCAGCTGCAGAGGAAGGACATGGTGAAAATCACCAGTGTGTGGCGCCATTTCAGGTCCACCAAGGTAGTGAAGATGTCTTGGAGGAAGCGCCCTTGTTCCCGAATATTCTTATGGGCCAGGTTACAGGCCCCACTCTTGGCGATAAAACGAGCTCTAGGAAGCCTGTCTCTGATGCGTGGCTTGCGCAGGTTCTCAGCAGCAATCCGGGCCAGCACATATTCTTCTGGAATAATGCTTTTTCTGGCCAACATCTTCCTTTTATCATAACCAACCTATATGAAAAGCTGCTTCTCCACCTATCTCCTCCTCTCTGATTTGTCTTCCTACACAGGGAGAAAGATGATTTTTAAAAATCTAATTTTCTTATCTCTGTAATACTTTGATTCAAAGAGTCTATGTCCATACATTAGAGAACTGAGACCATTATCTTGATAATGTGAATAAAATTCACTCTCTTGCCTGAATATTGGCTATTACTTACATACCTGCAAAGGAATATGGAAAACAGCCTTTTTTTCTGGATTATTTGAGCAAAATTCTGATTTTTTTCCCTAAATATCTGTTTCAGATGGAGATTCTGGCTTCAATTTCCCCCTTCATTCTTGATGTAAACATATACAAACCTCATTTAAAACAAACCAAAACAATCTAGGAGCTCTCCCCTCCCTATAGAGTTTTCTAAATAAATTATATTTGTTAATAGGACTTCTAAAAAAGGAAGAATCACATACAAAACTCCAGAGCTGCAGTTAGACCAGTAAAGACTGATAATGCGCATTAAATAGTTATAATGAAATGGCAATGCTACAGAGATGGAAGAAAACTTCCTTGAACATTTTTAGAAGCAGGCAGTGTCTAAGAGGCATTATTCTTGCATCACGTAAGTCATATTTTCATTATACTTGATCAAATAATAGACACCGTCTTCAAATTCAAACGGCAAATTATGAGATGCAAAGTAATTAGTTAAATTGAGAAAGAACTTTATTCCTACTACAGAATTTAATGCAGAAATCACAGGGTAGTTACAAAGAGACCAAGAAAAATGAACTATGGTCTAGGCAAAGCAAATCCCAGAATTTAAGGGACACAAAGTACACACCAGAGACTTTTACTTTGTTCTCCATTTTTCTACCTTCTTGGAAAAGGTGAAGAGAGAAGATGATGTCCCCTGCCCCAGGAGAAGAGCTGAAACTTACAGGAATTTGTTGCAGCTGGAACAGCTGGAGTCCTCACCCTCGCTGCCGGCTGACCACCAGTCAAGTTACTGAAGGTTCCATCCATCCCAGTGCACAGAAGCAGGCTGTTATTCGTCACTAAGAGGACAGCTCTCGGAAAGAATAGTCAAAAGAATAAAAAGGTACAAATGAACTCTAAGTGCGAGGAAGGGAATGGAGGTAACAGCATCCCCCTCCCCCAGCATAATTATCTTCCCTTTGTGTATGGCGGGGGGGGGGGGGGTTGAGGACAGTGGAAGAAAGATAAAGTTGGGGGAGGGGTGGTGCTCAATAAATCACCCTCTGGGTTAGTGGTTTGACGTGAGCCAGGGTTGCGATGCTGTGGAGCGGGGGGCGGGAGAGGGCGGTGAAGCGAGTCCGGGAGAGTTACAGGGTAAGCCAGAGGGGAGCTGCGATGCGAAGGGGAAGGATGGGGAAAGATGAGGGCGGGAACCTCGGAAGAAAGCTCATTTCCCTGTAGCCCCAGCCTCTTGCCGCCTAGTGCGGACTCACAAGTTTTTAAAAGGCTCGCGGCAGACAGGGGGAGGACATTTCAGAGTTCACTGACGTAAAGGAGAAAGTTAGTTACTTTTCTTCTTTTTTTTTTTTAAGCCTAGAAACAGACGTGATTCTCTAAGCAGCCAAGGAAAGACCAGAGAATTTATACAAGGAAGGCTTCCAAACTGTATCCTAACTAAGATTTAAAATCTAGAACTAAAAGGAACCTTAGAGTCATCTGGTCCAACCCGCTTATTTTACTGATTAGGAAACTGAGAATCGGAGACCCAAGACCACACAGGTTGGAGACGGCGGAAATTAGATTTAAATTCAGATCCTCTGATCCCAATGCTAACACTTTCCCCACAATCCCACAAGAAATGCTACACACTAAGTCATAGAACCTAGAAGTGAAAGGAACTTTAAAAGTCGTTTATAGGACAACCACCCTCCCTCTTTTTTTTCCTTTTCTTTCTTCCTTTTTTTTTTTCAGATGAAGAAAACAAGGGTTGATAGGTTAAAATAGAATTAGGTGGCTATATAACAAGCCAATAGAGATGAAAAAACTGCAGTATGAAATGTATTTCAAACCCAGATCCTTTGACTACACATGTCACTTGCACTTATTAGATTGTGGTCATGCACCCCACAGTTTTTTCCTAATGAGGAAATTGTATCCTAAATAGAGACACCTGCCAGCTCAAGGCTAACTTTAGCTTGCAAAAGGCCAGTTGGCTTCAGATTGGGACCTGTAAAGGTAAAAGTTCTGTCCACATGAAGATGTGGACACATGGAATATAAATAAACTGAGAAAGATCACATGGAAGATAAACCAGTGTAAGCAGGAACAAGAAAGGTACACATTCTGTGCATTACTGTGGTTTTGCTGTTAGGTTTTAAAGGAATCAGGAAAAAGAAAATTGTGTTTTACCTACCACAACAATATCAAGGCTTGAGATTTTGACATTTAACATTTAACAAAACCTTTAATTCTTGGAACTTTGATGTATCTTCCAAGTCTCAGGATCTGAAGGACATGATAAACAATGTGTTCATTAAATATTAACGGGCCTAAAATAGACTTTAATGAATCCAAATGTACTGTTTCTTATAGATGAATTCATTTAACTCCTTCAGAACTAGTGCTCGTGGTATTAATGGCAATATTAATGGCGTTTGGCTCCAATGGTAATGGCAAACTGCCAGTTTCTACTAGGCTCTTCCAGCAAGGAGACCAGCTTCGTTGGAGCAGAGTATGTAAGGTATAAGAAGGAAGCCAAACAAAGGGGGTCAAGGGGCTCAGTTATGAAGGGCTTTGAATGCGAAAGAGAGGATTTTATATTTGATCCTGGAGGTGATAGGGAACCACTGGAATTTATTGAGTGAAGCTAGGACACGACATGCTCAGACCTGTGCCTTAGGAAAATCACTTGGGCAGTTGAATGGAGGATGAGTTGAAATGAGGAGAGTTTTGTGACAGACAGACCAACAAGTAGGCTATTGCAGTAGTTCAGGCATGAGGTAATAAGGGTCTGAACTAGGATCAGAAGGAGGCAAATTCTAGAGATGTTTCAAAAGTGAAATCTAGAGGGCTTGTCAACAGATTTGATATGGGGGGGCAGTTAGAGATAGTGAAGAGTCAAGGATGACAAGTTGGGAGCCTGGAGGACTGGGAGGATGGTGATATTCTTGATGTTAATAGGAAATTAGGGTTCAAATGCTACCTTCTTCAAGAGAACTTTTCTGATTATCCCACTTGTGAAATTCCCCATCACCCCTACTCCAGGAAGTAATTTTGTATTTATTTTTATGTCCTGTATTTACTCCTCTGTCAACATGTACTATACCACCACCCTTTTTTAAAATGTGAGATCCTTAAGGATGAATGCTCTATCACTTTGTCAACTCTGCCTACTGACCCCTCTGCCTTCATTTAGGTCCCAATTAACAATCTTGTCTTTTACAGGAAGACTTTTTTGACCCCTCTTAATTCTAGCACCTTCCTTTTGTTAATTATTTCCTATTTATTCTGTATGTAGCTTGCTTTGTGCACATTTGTTTGCATGTTGTCTCCCCCATTAGATTATAAACTCCTTGAGAAGCAGGGACCAGTCTTTCGCCTCTTTTTTGTATCACCAGTGTTTAGCACAGTGCCTGGCACATAGGCACTTAATAAATGTTTATTGATCGATTTGTATTTCTTTCCCCAGTGCCTAGCACAATGCTTAGCTCATAGTAAGCACTTAATAAATGCTTGTTGAAACTATCAATTGATTGGCCTATTCATGTTAAAATCACGCTGCTCTTTATGAGCAATGATTCCTTTTAAGTGTTCTTTAATGAAATATCCTAGAGTTTTACCAAGATTTATAGGCGAAGTCATTGGCCTATAGTTTGTAGATTCAATTCCCCTTCATTTTTAAATGGGAACAACATTTGCCCTTCTCTACTGCTCTGTTTTCAAATGTCTTTCAAATATCACTGATGCCAATTAAATAACACCTGCAGTTCTTTTAGTAACTAAAGCTCTAGTTAATTTTTGGCCAGGTGACATGAGCTCAACATGTGCAGTTACATCATGTCTTGCTATCTTCTTATTTCATTTTGGGTATCAACTCCCTACTTTCCAGTCCAAAAGTCTTTCTTCTGGGCAGAGAAAAGAGAAGCAAAAGAAGCCGTGAGCAGCTCCACCTTCTCTCCGTTGTCAGTTATTATCATCCCTTAGCAGTCATCCGCCATAACTATTAATACCATAATACTTGAGGGAACCTTTACTTTTTCATTGAAAGCTCATTTTGTTGGTTTAGTTATTTAAATCTCTAAAATATACTACATAGGTCAAAGTCTAGGAAAATAATTTTTATTTTCTTAAATTTTCTTTTTTTTTTATGCATGAGGACTAATTTGAACAGAAATGGCAACCATACCCTAGAAGCTACTTAGTTTGAGCATTGAAGGCACTTGAAAATGTTTGCTGAATTAAATATTTCCAATTTTAATTGTAATAAAGAGAGTGATATTCAGTTAGGAACTGTCCACTTTCTATTAATACTTGATTATTACAGATTCAGGTACACTATTTATTCATATGCAGGTTATTTGCCATCTGGTTCCCCTAAAACCTGCTGATTGGGTGAAGCTCTGTTTCATAACTTTTCCATTTTATATTTTTACTTCCATCATTTTGCACATTCTCAGTTTTGGCAAGAACTGAAATCTATCATCTGCCTGCCTGCAAATAAATGAAGCCACTATTGAGCAAATGCTTTGACCATTATCTCTATTGCTTTTTTAGCAAATATAAGCAGTGGAGAAAAATAGAAACTGAAACAGAATTTCATAAGATAATGAAGGATAATGGTGCTAGCTGACCTTCAGTTTGCTCCTGTTTGTGGATTTTCTATTGTTGGACTCCCATCTGTATTAGAGCGGATTCAGAGAGTCTCCAAAAAAGGAGATAGGGAGTTTTATGTTAGCAGACCAAAGAAATGGTTGTTTGGTCTAGTTGCTTGGTATTCTGCTTTATTAGTGTCCTCATTTAAACCACTTTGGAACATTCTACTTTGGAATCAGCTTAATAAAAGTGTTACATAAACTAGTAATCAAAACAGCATGTTAGAAATTCACATTTGTGGAGTTTTCTTGAAATGGGAGAAGCAGCTTAACTTTTCTTAGTGGCAGGAAGTAGCACTGTGCTGTGGATAAAACAATGTACTGGGATTCACAAGATTTAACTAGCCACATGAGCAATCAATCATTTGATCAACACTTATTAAACACCACCTATGTGCCAACCACTGTAGTAGGTGCTGGGCTACTAAGACAAAAGTTCTCAAGGAGCTTATATTTGATCAGTGGAGAAACCATGTACATGTATAAGCCTATAAAGAAGAAATATATGCAGAGTAAATACTAAATGAACGTAAGATAAGTAGAAAGTAGTTAGTGAAGAAGGGCAGTAGCAGTTGGGGGATCAGGAGAGGCATTGTTTTGATGGTGGTGTTTAAGTATCCTTGAAATATATTAGTGGTTTTATGAGATGGACATTAGGAAGGAGTTAATTCTAGACATGGAGGATGACCAATACAAAGGCACAGAGGTGGGAAGTGGAGTGCTTTGTATAAAGAACAGAGAGAAGTTCTGGTTGGTAGACCATACAGAGAAGGAGAACAATATGTAATAAGGTATGGAGCCAAGTTCCGAAAGACTAAACAGAAAAATTAAAAGCTAAACAAAGAAATTTATATTTGGTCCTAGAGGCAATAGGGAACCATTAGAATTATTGTGTAGGTCTTAGCTTAAGGCAAATAAATTTGTCCATTGAGTGAAGGATGGATTGGAGTGCAGAGATACTTGAAGCAGGGAGGTCATCGCAATAGTCTAAGGGAGAGCTGCTGAGGCCCTGGATTAAGACAATGATTATATAAATAGAGACAAATAGGATTTGAGAGATTACTCCTTTAGAAGTAGCTCCTCCTCAAAAGCCAACATTTAATTGAATCCCTTGGAATTAGGAAAGCTAACAGAGGAAGAAGGGGACAGAATAAAAGCTTTTGCTTTTGCATTCACGCCCTCACCCCCAATGGAGTAGTCAATCACAGAAATATTGCTAATAACACTCTCTGCCAAAATGCAAAGATAAATAAAACTACAAATTAATGGATAGGTCTGTCCTAGGAACCTGCATCAAACCTCGGTGAGGTTTGTGAGTGATGCCAAAAACCTGCAGTTTGCTTTCTTGATGTGCTCATGCCAAAAAAAGAAAGTCGCTTTGTGCCTGAAATCCATCACATCCTTCAACCCTTACAGAGCCTTTGCCAAAACTTTTGTAAGAAGGGCAGCTCCCAGGGATGGGATGTCCAGTACCTTTGCTATGTTTTCATGTCACGATGTTTTACAGAGTGGCTGATTCATAAAACCCTTGGAAGGGGGACTCTTACATTTTCCAGGACTCTATGCAATTGCCTATTGCCACCTTTCAAAAATGTCAGCAACAGAAGGCACA